AATGACTTTTACTGGGCTTCCTTTGGATAGGAGATGCTTTCTGTCAGTCCCTCTCAGGGGAATGCAATGCTCTATCAATGCTGTATCACACAAACAGAGTGTCAAACAAAGCCCTGTTCCTCCAAACTGAGATGTTTAAAGCTTAATGGCTTGAACTAAGCACAGTTATTTGCACTTGATTATAGAAATGAAAAGGCAAAGGCCAAAAAAATATGAAAAATATATGTTACTCGCTGCTACTGTGTCGTTCAAGTTGTAAGTTACCTCAAACAGCACAAGAAATATCAAAGGTTTTGCATTTTCACTAAGTGTAAGGTCTCCATCCTTGCAGATTTCAAAATCCATTTGGACACAGTCCTGGCCAAGCCGCTCTAGGTGACCTGGAGCAGGGAGGTTGGACCAGACGATCTCTTTTCCAACCTCCACTGTTCTGTATTTCCAAGGTGTTTTGTACTGGCTTGAATAGGAGAGCATCCCGCTGCCCGTGGAACCACGGTGCTCCATGGCACCACTGCGGGCTCCAAGGCTTCCACGCAGCTCAGCCATATCAGCAATTGCTCCTGGAGGACAACCTGAGAGTTTACAGAAAGGAAGCCACTCATTTCCCTTGCAGGTTGGAGCTCATCAGTCTTTGGGATAGGCTCAGTAAGACGAGCTCGAGGCCAAGAATGAGATATCAGCTGTATGAAGAGACTTTAGTCTAAAATTGCAATGCAAAAAACTAACCCTGATTTCCAAACACAATTCCCTGCTCAACTGTAAAGCTTTCCTACAGATGTATGTTTCTGCACCCCTGTAACAACCCTGTTTGGAAAGAAATAAAAAATTCAGTGCCTAGTCCATACCTGTGCTCAGTTGGGATCCAAATGTGTTCTTTGGCTCAGGTTTCCTGTAAGGGCTGTCCTTGCACATGGCTACAGAGCCTCAAACACTGCCAAGGTCAGCACTATACAAAATGCAGCTGGGGCCACCACTTTCTTTCAAATAAGTGCTGCTTCCCTCCCTGTATGCAAAGGCCTATGGCAGCAAACACCTCCGCAGAGGCTCAGGCTGCATTTTGCAGCAAGAAGTGCAGTTCCCAGTGCTCGGAAGGGCACCCTGCCGAGCAAACCCACAGCCGAGTTCAGACACACTTGTCTCTCTGCCACCGTGAAGCTCAGCTGCTCTTCTGCACTGCTTACACGGAAGGGAAGCAGGAAAGGAGAGCGTCTCTGCATTGAAGTGACCCATAGACTCGTTGTTAGGCCATTTTTTCCCTACTGGGATAGGTGCCAGGGCCCTTAGACTGAAGAAGAAACTGAACCCAAGTCTCTCACTTTCTACTTACTAAGCTGTTTTACAAAATATGGCAGTATGACCACTTAAGGCTCTTTTCACTTCTCTCAAAAAAAGGGACATCAGTACCTCGCTTCGAGGCTAAGGCTCCCAAGCGGGTGGAAGTGTCGCTGCTGCCCTGGGGGACAATTCCTTGGCTCAGGAATGGCCGAGCTGCTGAGCTCGCACTGGCTCCGAGTGCCTCCCAGCAGCTCGCGCGAGGCAGCCGCGGGCTGCGCGTGCCGGGCGCCGCTGCTCGGCCGTCCTGCCCTCGGGAAGAGGCGCTTAGTGTCCCATGGAGTCTGAGGTCTGGATCCCTCCCCTGCGCGAGCATCTGACGCGTAATCAGAAACAGAGCCTGGTGCCGCGCTCTGGCCAGCCAAAAATGGAGAAAAACAGACTGGCAACATTCCCCCAGCGTTACGCTCTCCCAGGCCTACCCATGCCTAGGAGATGACACAGACGTAAATTAACTTGGCCCAATTTTATCGCTTGTAGTTGAAACATTTGGTTGATTGCAATGAAAATAAAGTTGGAGTAGGTAATTATGAGACACATAGGTCTTTCAGATACCTCGCACCACAACAGCAGCTGCGCTGTTCACACCAGGATGTTCTGCTAAAGCTGGGATTAGAGCACCATGGTGGTCAGAAATCAGGAAAAAAAGGAGTTCCTGAGATGTCTGAAGCACTATATTCAAATAAAGAAAAACAACTTTCAAACAGATCACCTGCTGAACAGGAGGAACAATCCCTCTGCTAACATATACCCTTTAAAAATAACATTTATGATCCCAAGAGTTTTTGCTCCAGAATAAATAGCACTGAAAATAACCATTTCAGATTTGATTCTGCCTCTAAACCATTTTTAAATCTTGTAAACACCTGGAGAAAATACCACTAAGTGCCAGCAGTTAGCCTTAGGAGAATTTATTTAGTTTCTTCTATAGCTCTAACACTCACTTTTCTGTGCCTCTGATTATTTACCAATAAAACAGGCACATTACTTGTACTGAATGTTATGTACCTATAAAGAACTCTGAGAGCCTCATAGGCGAGATATTAAATACCTACATTCATTCATACCATAATTACTAATATACAATTTGCTTTCATCTACAGAAAGAGTCTACCATGGTCACTATTAAAGCAAGCACAGTCTCAGAAACACTTGCAGTTGTTATGATACTCTCAAGGGTTGAGCACTCGGAGCTCCTAGAGGTCCTTTTCCTCAGTAACACCACTGACATACAATCCCTTCTCCTACTAACTATACAGTTTCCTTTCAAATTTTTAAACATCTTTGACATTTAAAAAATGTCCCTCACCTGGCTTTAAGGCACTGAAAACATACCTGATTCGAGGACCTGCTTCAGGATTCTGCAGTAAGGGCCTGCCAGCTTTGCTGAACTTAACCTAATGAAGCAGCGTGAGATCAGCAACAGAAGCACTGAATTAACACTGCAGCTGACCCCTCAATGGCATGGTGGCTTTGACCCCTCCATGCTCGGGTCTAAACCAGCTTAGGCAGATGCTGCTTGTGCACCCAGCGAGCTACGTACGTGCTGCAGGTCTGGGCTCACTTCAGCTCCTAGAGCAGCTTATGGAAAGTAGGAGTTGGCAATTCCAGCTCTCTCAAGTTTTAAATTGGTTACAACAGGGAAGAAAGATGGGTTTATTTCATTCAGTGGTGACTCTCCCTTCACCCCTAGAAGGTATTTAAAACCTGCCTGCCCACAGTCCGAGCTCACTCTGCTAGAGCAGGGGGTTGGACCTGGTGATCTCTGCAGGGCCTCTCCAACCTCAGCTGTGCTGGGATTCATGTAACTGTTGGCACCTCAAAATACTCTTCCCACCTCACCAGCTGCGTAAAAATACGTGATCAAGAAATGCACCGATTGCAACTTGACATGTTGCCACGTATCAGCTGTGTCACAAGAGCAAAACTCTTAGCCTGCAGCAAACATCAAATCATCTGCTTAAGCTGCTCCACAGCGGATCTTACATCTGCCTCACTCTAGGCACAAACAATCAAGATATTTAACTCAGATCAGCAGATAAACTGATTTTACCTCTGAACCTCTAGCAAGATGATTTCAGTGAGCGAAAAACCTCTCCTGAGTTTGTGAAAACCTCACCTGTGGCAAACTGTTATGTTAAGAGATGTCAACCCAAAAGTCTCTGGTCTCAGAACAGGCCCCAGGAAAGGCAGTTAACAAAACTGGGGCACAACAGAGCAAAGTCCTACAACCAAACTGCAGTCCCAGGTTTCCTCACATCCTACCTGCCATCTCATGACATCTCAGCCGCAAGACAGAAAGGCTGGAATTAATTTTGGAAGAAGAGAGGTTGGATTTCTTTTGTTTTGAGAAATGTATCTGCAAGATTACGTTGTTTTGTTGTTGATCGTTTTGTCCCAAAGCAGCAAGGTTTTACACAATAGTGCCTAAAGCATATTGGAATAAATAACGCTTTTGAAATAATGCCATACTGTTAAATAAATGCCAGGATCATTGATTCTCTTGATAAAGACGAGCACTGCATCAGCACCACCTAACGATTCCTCAAAGCGTAATTGCGGTCACAGGCAGAAACCTTCGGAAATCCCTGCACAAACTAAGCACAGCAAGACACTCGCGTACAGGAAAGCACCAACCCACTGACACCTTCTAGGAGCACTTGCCTCGGCAGCCGCGCGCAGCAGGGACAGGGACGGGCACCAAGCTGGTGCAGAGCCAGCCGCGCGGCACCGCAGGGACACGGGCGCGCAGTGGGTGCAGGTTCATGCAATGCAGTGGGCGCTCTGCAGTGGGGCAGCGGGTCCCCCTGGGCCTGTCCTGGTGCCGGGCACCAGCAGGCCCTCAGAATTAAGTTTTGTTTTGGGTGCTGCATTGGCAGAGATGGCCCTGAATCAAACCCTTCCCCGGGCCTAGTGTACGTGGATTTGGGTCTCCATTAAGCGTGGCCATGGTGGCACGCTGGCCCAACACAGAGGGGCAGCCATTCAGCAGGGCTCCTCCGCCACCCTCACCCTGCCCCTCAGCACCCCTGCGGACACACAACAGCCTCCCTGCCAGGCGTGAGTGCTGAGACTGGCCAACTGCCACATTCCCTCCAGGGCTGCCATGTTCCTTCCAGGGCCCCCACGCTCCCCCATGGCCACCATGTTGCCCTAGCACCATCATGTCCCCCAGGGCAACCATGTTCCTTCCAGGGCCCCCACATTCCCCCTAAGTCGCCATGTTCCCCTAGGGCCATCATGTTCCCTCAGGTCCGCCATGTTCCCCTAGGGCCATCATGTCCCCCAACGCCGCCATGTTCCTTCCAGGGCCCCCACGCTCCCCCATGGCCGCCATGTTCCCCTAGCGCCCCCACGCTCCCCCATGGCCGCCGTGCTCCCCGGGACACCGCATCCCGCCCTCGCCGCCACGCTCTGTAAACGAGCAGGGCGCCGCGGGGTGTTTGGAGGGCACCGCGGTCCACGCGGCATGTGGAAGCCGCGGGGCTGTGCGTGCAGGGGGACAGCGCGCGGCGCCCGGAGGAAGTCGCCGCTCCGGCGGCGCTGGGAAGTGAAAGCGAAATGCGGCGCGGGGCGGGAGGAAGGGAGGGAACGGCGGCGAAGGAGGCGGGGAGCGAGGCGCCGCCGCGGCCTCCCGTGCCGGCGCCGCGGCCCGGCCCGCCGCGGCCATGTCGCAGGCGGCGCGGAGCGGGGAGGACGGCGAGGAGGGCGAGCAGGAGGACGAGGCAGCGCGGGGCAGCCGGAGGCGGCACAGGAGCCGCCACGAGGCGCCGGCGGGCGGCGGCAGGAGCCAGGAGCGCCACGAGAGGAAGAGGAAGAAGAGGGAGGCGCAGCAGCTCCAGAAGCTCCAGCACCTGGAGTCGTTGTAAGGAAGGGCGGGAGGGGACTGCCCGCCGCCGCCCGGGTGCCGGCCCGGGCTCCAACGGCCGCTGCTCTGTCTGTGTGTGGCGGGCAGGGCGGCATTGTTCAGCGCAGGGAGAGATTACTTTATGCTCATTTATATTCATTTATATATATATATATAATGAATTATTTCATTTAAATAGGGCCGCCCGTTTCTGCGTGCACCTCTTTTACTGCTCCACGGCGGTTCTTGCGCCAGCCCCAGCGCCTCCTCCTGCAGACTCCTTCTGCCGGGAGAGCCGTGGAGATGATCCCCCTTTCCCGGCAGGTGTGATGGAGCTGTGGAGATGATCCCCTTTTCCGGCAGGTGTGACCGCAGCGCTCCCAGGTCCCGGAGCAGCACGCGGGCCTTGGCGGCACCGCCTGTTTATTTCACGTTTGGGGTGATCCGGGCCAACCTGAGCAATGGGGACGGAGTTGGCCGCTCCATGGGACCCGGAGCCTCTAAACAGCCCCACGTGGAGCTCTTCCCTGGGGATGGGTGTCCTGTCTCTGCGGAACAGGCCCGTTTTTATGCACGAGTAGGTGGGTGTTTCACCCGCTTCCCTGCGGAGTAGTGAGGCGGCAGGTGCCTCCACACCTGTCAACGTGAAGGTTTTAATACCTGCAATACGACGCAGAGGTTGTCAAGAGAGCCAGGACGTGGTTAGTGTCATCTCTGACACGTTTCAAAGTGTCGTCTGCCAAAACTTCCTCCTGACTTTGTAAGGATTTCTCGGGGAAGGGGAGTCTCTGCTGAAGGGGAGCCTCTTCTTGCAGGTCTGGGAGCTGCAGCGGAGGAGCAGAAGTTGTTCAGCAGGTTTCCACTGGCATAGTTTTAAAAGAAAAAAAGACAAAAAGGTTTCAGATACGCTAAGTGACTCCATTAATAATCCATGATAAAGAGTACGTGCCAGTGTCCTGAAAGGGGTTGAAAGGGAGGGAGAGATCAGGCAGTTCTCTAGAACATAATTTTCTCCTTTCCTGGAGGAAGTTATGAAATGTTACAAACAGCACTCAAAATTTGTCTTTAGACTGGAGGTCAATCCCATTGTTTTTCTGGCATTTAATATACTGTTTTTTTTTCAGTTACTCTGTCCTACATAGCACCTGCTTGGTATTTAGGTTTTAGCAAATTACATCTTTTTTTTTTTTTCTGGAGAAATATTGCAGAATAGATGGTACAGTTGTCAGCAAGACTATATTTAGATGTCATTAGAGCAAGGACAAGATTTGTTACTTTATTTGAAATTTGGCTGGCAAATCTAGATTTAGGGAACAGCCCGACTTGACATTTGCAGCTGAGTGTAGCTGTGATTCAGCAGTGCTGGAGTAAAGAAATTTGGATCTTGGAGATCTTGGGAGAGGGATGAGTAGCTACAGAAAAAGATAACCGAGCTGTGAATGTGTGGTAACTGCAGCTGAATCACATGCACGACATTGCTGTAAAGCAGTGTGACTAAAATAGTTGCTCCCACACAAGAATGTGAATGTGAAGGATGTTTGAAAAAGATGCATGCTGTGCACGCACAGAAACCTGGCAGTTTGGAAACATTCTGGGTCACTCTACTTGCATCCAGGTATCCCTGTTGTGCTATAACTCTTAATAATTATTGGTTGATTAAAATTTAAGGGAAAGTGTGAGATGAAAGTCTTGATACCACTTTAGTGATGTGTTTCGTCTATTTATTTGTGCTAAGTTGCAGAAAGTGGAGTAACTGTATTTTTATTGCTTTCCAGCTATGAGAAACCTCCCCCGGGGCTAATAAAGGTTAGTAAATATATTTTAGTACATTTTTAACACTGCAAGGGGTTTTTATACAGCCTGACTTTAGCCATCTCTCATCAGTGTCTAGGTAATCTATATAAGTTAAAGGGAGAAGTAGGTACTCCCAGAGAATACCAGAACTCCTTAGTTACAAGCTGGTCAAGGGTAAGGGAAAATAAGGTGACATTACTAAAAGAGTCAAGTATTTTGGATCCTTTATGTGTTACAAGAAAAGGAAATGTTATGGAGGAAATAGATCCCTGTTAAATGAGGACCTATGTGCTTGGGGTATTATTTATCTATTTATTATTTTTCTTGTTCCTATCCTTATCCATAGGAGAATGAAACAAAACCAGAAGACTGCATCCCTGATGTACCAGGCAATGAAAGCGCACGAGAATTCCTGGCACATGCCCCAACAAAAGGCCTTTGGATGCCTTTGGGAAAAGAAGTCAAAGTTATGCAGTGTAAGGATGAATATATTCCAGACATCCCTGGACCTTGTTTTTACCTGGAGGGCGGACAGGATGTCTGGCAGGAGGATGATGAGGTCCGGGTAGACTGGCATCATATTGGTGTGAAAGCAACCAGTACCTTGGAGATTACATATAATAGCTTTATGTTTTATGAAGGTTACATTTAGCAATGTAAAACTCGTATCTCTGTATCTGTTCCAACAAAAAGAAAATATTTTCAGTATAAATACACATTTTTTTTTCTGAGCTGGCTCAGAGATGCAATTCACTGCTGCTTTTTTTGTTTTTTTCTTTTTTTTTTTTTTTTTTTAAGGTTGGAGGTGTAAACGTTACGGACACAGAACGGGAGATAAAGAATGCCCCTTCTTTATTAAAGGCAATCAGAAATTGGAACAATTTAGAGTAGTGAGTACAAATACTGTAGTATTAATGCTTTTATTTTTGATATTGTTGAGTAATTTTGCAAGGGAAAAGAAGCCTATTAGATGATGCTGTGTTAAGGACTTTTCCTCTGTCTGTAGTACAATGTGGATGCTGAAAATCCAAAATAAAGAGCTATGGATGTGGTTGGAGGTTTGACTGCTTTGCAGCAAATTTGCTCTTTAAGAGGAAAATAATAAGTATTTATATTTAAATTTGAAACCTTCAAGAAGCCGTTTATATCCCATCAACTGTTACAGCCTAAGTTGTATGGTAAAATACCAACATAGCAAAATAAAAGTTTAGTGAAGCTTGAGCTGCCCACATTACAGCTGCTTCAAGCCTTCTGCTCTCAGTGTGAACAACCACATCGTGAAGCCTGTTGTCTAGGTGTGTAGCCCAGTCGCTGCCTGTGATTCCAGTCTCCTGCCACATGAGGCTATACCACAGTATTGCATGTTCTTACTGTGTTCCGGTGTCTTTAATGATAACTTTCCCTATTTTTCTGCACTATAAAACTATATTTGAAATCCTCATTGTTTTATTTCTTAGGTCCTACTTCTTAGCCTTGAAAATGCCATCAGGGCTCATTTGGGCCAGTCAGCATGTTACTGCAGATCAAGTTTTTAGGCCAGTCCCATGACCAGATAGCTTCTATCCTACATTTAAAAAAAAAAAATTTTCCTCAGGCTTCTTCTCTGTTGCAAAAAAACCTCTTGCGTTATGTCCAAGGCCTTTCATGATTCATTCCCCAATTTTATCATTTTCTACTGTAATTTCAGTTCCCATTTCTGAGCAGCATTTGACATTATCTGTCTCTTTTTTTTTCCCCCCCCCTAAATTTTCGACAGAAATGATGACCCCTTCTTTTTGCAGCGTTCTTTCTTAGGATGAAATCATAATCCTAATCCCATTTTAAATATCCACAAAGTTTATTTGTTATCTTATTTCAAAACTTTCTTTCACTTTTCACTGCAATGCAAACTGTAAAAACTAAGAAAGGCAATATGTAGCATGCTGGGACAACTCATACCTCATTACCTATTTGTCTTATATTCCTAGCTACTGTATTCCTGCCTACTTGTATCCAGGTCTTTAAAATGTGCTATAAAAAAGCACAGCTCTTACTATTTTCAATTTCAATGATTATTCTTTTTATAGCTGTTCATATAGTATTTCCATGGTCATTTGTTATAATGTTATAATCAGTAATTGTTGAGAGAGAGGGAACATACCTAAGGAAGAACCCCTCAATTCCATAAATAGAAGGAGTTTTTAAAGGAAAAGATTAACCAAAAATGTGGCTGACAGTATGCTTTTTATTTAAGAGCTTACTGAGTATAATTCATCTTTTGATTAAAGTCCCGGTGTTAGGTTGCTGTGTTGTTTTCTTTTTCTTAAGAATTAAAGCAGTGAGCGGTAAAAACCTTTCCTGTACCAACACTGAATTTCTGTCTTCTATTTCCAAAGGCACATGAAGACCCAATGTATGATCTAATAAGAGAAAACAAACGTCATGAAAAAGAAATGAGGTAAGTCCTTGTAAAAGAAATGAGGTAAGTGCATCCCTGTAGTAAACTGCATTTTCAGTTGGAGTTTTTAACTTTGATAATGTTTTACTAACTTAAGATTTGAAGGTGAAGCATCATTGTAAGTTACTCACATGACTTCAGAGCATCTCTCAATGGGAGCTTCTTTAGGTTAACAGACAGAAGCATTTTTAAATAATTTCCATGTTTTTGAAAGCTCTGATTAAACTCATAATCCAGCGTTTTGTATGCAGCTGCCATTAGTCAGGCTAGATGAAAGCTAGAATAAGTGATGATGTGTGGGGAAGTTGGAGAGGATTCTCATTCATGTTTTCAAATGTACTCAGGATACAGCAACTGAAGCAGCTCCTGGAAGACTCTACCTCAGAAGATGATGACAGCGATGGCAGCAGTGAGGATGATGATGAAAGTAGCAGCAGCTCCACTTCCTCAGAATGTAGAGATAAACACAAGAAAAAGAAGAGAAAGAAAGAGAAGAAGAAAAAAGAAAAGAAGAAGAAAAAAAAGAAAAAGCATAAATCTTCTAAATCTAATGAGAAGTTAGAATCTGACTGACAGCAGCTGTCTGCTGCATGCTTATTGACCCCTACTTGGGAACTGTAAGGAAACACCCAAAGAATGAAGAAACCACCACTGGAAAAGGCTTTATTAAACTCAGAACACAGAGATGGATACCTGTGTATATATAGCATCCAACTTTGGCTCTGCTTTTCTGCCCCTCTGCAATGCTGCAGCCAGAAAAGAGGTTCATTAAACACTGGTTTTAACTCAGTCAACCTTATCTCTGCCCTGCAGAACCGGTGCCAAGGGTCCTCTAGCCGGGTCCCTCTGGGCCTCTGTGTCGCCACATGTGATGATGGCCAGAAAGCAGTGACCACCCAACTCTTGCCAGCAGAGCAGCAGAAGCAGCCAGCTGCCTACTGAAGTATGTTTTGTCCATGAATTTTACTGTATTCAGACAGTCACTGCAGTGGGGACTGCAACGTGCACTGTGCAAAGCATTGACACCTCATTTACAGTAATCATCATGGGCAGGTTGTGCTGTATCTTTTTCTGCAAATTGCTGTGAGTTCCCTGTACTTATCCCAGCCCCTGCAGTTGGGGAAATAAAAGCAGTGCTGAAGTGGGGAGGGGGGATTTGCTTCAAGACAAAGCTGCAGTGTTAACAAGACTTGTTTTTAGGGATGGCAGAATCTCTACACCATCACCATTCTTGGTACAGTTTTGCAACACTTAGCTGTTCTCCAGACGATAGAATGGGAAGCCAAGCATGAGAACTGGATCTCGTGTAGTGATTTTTAGTGTGAAAAATTATAATTTTTAGTTAAGGGGGGAAATGGAAGAGTTAGGCTGTTCTACACACGCTTCAGTATCAGTTGTTTTGATACATCTTGAGATTTTTCCTTTTTAAAAAGCTTTGAGGAAGTAAATTCCAACTTGTTTTGTATGTTTAGTAGAGTTACTTTGATTAGTATGTTTTATGAATCATACTGCAAGAAGAATCTAAATGTGTGAAAGGACTTGAAAAGGGGTTTCAAGTAGGTGCATGTAAGCAAAGACCAGTAGCATTGAACCTACAAGCTGAAAAGAGGGAAGTTCTGAGTATTTAACTCATGCTGAACACTGACAGCAAGATTATTTTCTAAATGACCTTGCAAGGCAGATGTGACTGAAAAAAAGAAAAAAAAGATACAGCTATAAAGGGCATTAGAGCAGGCAAGCGTCTCTCTTCTCCAAAGATCAAGAGCTAGTGAGACAAAACTGCTTAGAGGACCTAGATGTTTATAGGTACCCTGAAAAGGCTAGAAAGCATAGACTTGCTTTGAAATGACTAGAGCATGTTTGATCTTATGCAGGACCTACTCTCTCTGCATTTATAACCAAAAAAAAAAAAAAAACCCACTATAAAGCTTTAATGTCACTGGCCATTATCAATGAAATTCAGGAAGAGCAGATAAAATGCACATAACTATTTTTGAGAGCCCTCCCAATCTTTGAAAAAGATGTTAGGGTAAGTATATGTTAAAAATATCTGTTCTTCCACCTTTAAATTCTTAAAGGTCTAGAAGTCCTTTAGCAAAAAATAACACCCTTACCTTGTCACTCATTCATAGTACTTCCTAGGAAAAGATGAACAAGGTCTAATGAGAAGAATGTTCTTTACCACTTTTTCCCCTGCATTGCTTCGATGATTTTACATCTTGAATAAGCACTGACAACAAAAGGAAAACCCATTCACTGATAGAAAATATTTTAGATTTTACTGTTTCCTAGCAACTTTATATGAAGACACCTTCATATATTAATCATATCAGTAACTTTAGGTGAAACTGCTCAATAGACTGTCATATCCCTAAAGCTTGAATATTCTAGAGTGTGTGTGTGGGGGGGGTGTTTCAATCCTCCACTGCTGTTATTTAGCAAATCTCCCTGTGAAGAAATTTCCTCATCAGTGACTCCCAGCAGTTCCTGTACTCATTAGAAGCTCCCAATTTTATGAAAACCATGAAGTTTTAACAGTTGAAAAAGCATGAGAAGATCTACAGGGGCCCCATAGGTTAGATACTGAGGAAGTGTTCTTCCAGATGCAGTGCTTGTTGGAAAGATGCTGGAAGGCCCAGGTAGGGATTGAAGCGTGGTAGACCTGGCACATTGACCTGGTGCCGAATTCCAGGAGGCCTCTTGCGTTGCGTTCCCTAGGGCAGGGCCAAGCCAGGGACGACTGTGGCTATTCCTGCTTTTGTTGCTTAAGTTTAGCTTATGCAAAACAGATGGACATTTCCCTTCTAGTCTTTCATCCCTCCTCTTAACCTGTTTTGGAGAGTTTTACCTACCAGCATTCACTAGTTCAACAATCAAGAAGACCTTAAAGGAAGGGCATTCTTTTAGCAAAGGTAATTTAAAACAAATGGTTTTTAAATACTAAATGCCTGTTCTGTGGCAGACTAAAGGTCTGTACCATTTCCAGGGGTGATCAATAGAAGACACCTTGGCAACTGAACAGGGTGAGTCTTCTAGGAATAGGTAGACTAGTAGCAATTTAGAAACAATTTCTATTAATGGAAAATGATTATATGTAGATATAAATCCAGAAAACAGAAGTCATATTCTTGCAAGACTGAATAGGTTTATATTTAAATCTCAACTTTTTGGACTTCATAACGTATCTGAGAACCAACATTTTTTGTCAGTGATTCCTGCCTCTTTTGCAGGCTTGGTTATTTCCCTTTGAGAGCCCTACTGAAATGCGAGTGGTAATAGTGTTATCCTAGTCCTGTGAGGTACAGCCACAACACATTCAGTAGCACCACAGCTGTAGCGAGTCCTGCTCAGCTCCCAGCTCTGCTTATCTTAGCGCTGCGAGCCAGTCTTTGCACAAAGATTACGCAGCAGAAATAGACACATGCCTATGTCTGTCAAGCAGCCACAGGCAGCTCGGGTTTTATGATCTTGCTGAGCACAAATGGCCAATGGCAGTGAGTCAATCCAGGGAATTTGAGGATTCGTTTTTGTTTTAAAAATACCTTTGCTTTTCCTTGCTATGTCAGGGTTGCCCTGGGCTTCAGTTCCATTGTCTTGGAAGACCCTACTATCTTATTTTAACAGATCTGTGATGAAGCAAGAAAGAGCACCATAAGAGGAAAAGTTTTATGCCACACAGATGCTAGCACACTGAAAATTCAAATACAGAATTAAAATTCAACAAGCCAACACACCACGGACTCCACCCCAGGCACTTTGCCACAGAGGTTTTTGCTACAACTAACACTGTGGAAATTCTGAGTCACAGACAACAAGTCTGTCCAACAAAAGAGCCACTGTGGGAATCCCAGAGGCATCTGCTGTTCATTTCATGCCTTGCCAAGAAGCAAGTAGATTCCTCAGCTGCCCTTCAGATCCTGCAGAAGGCAGGTGGAGTCTTCAGAAACAGTGCAGCTCTGCTCTAGTTAAAAGCAGATAGTGCTGCCAGACAGCACTTACTCATCACTAGCCTAGCAAGCTCCCCAGGGAACAAGAGCCTGACACTTGTACGACTAGAAATCAGTTTGGGAAATCACCACAGCTGGTTACCTGTGTGAGCAAAGGAGCCTGAGCTTTGGTTCACAGGCTTTTAACAATACAGTTTCTAGCTCTCAGAGTTTCTGAACCACAGCCCTTTTATGCACCTTATACACAGGTCTAAGTCTAAGACTTAAGATGCAGTCTGCAAGTCTGCATTGATGCTTCCTGAAAAAGAACAAATAGAAGACTTAAGCTTAAGGGTACAGGACTAATACTAATGCACTCTAGAGTGCACCATAAAAACTCTCCAGAAAAGTATTTCTGAATCACTTAAATTCATGCACACTACTTAAAGCACAGGGGCAGGTGTAGCCTGAAGTTAAGGGATTAATTTATAAGAGCATTTGCTTTAGACAAAAAGCTGTTTACAAACAAAGCTGTTTACACAGTCCTGCTACTCCCTCACATGCTCTTGGGTGCCTGGGGCACCTAGCCCTAAAGTAGCTCTTACATCCAAGCAGAGAGCAGGGAGCAGCACAAAACCTCTCAAAGGCTGGAAAAGCCTGATCTGGGGAGGAGTATTTGTGAGGTGCTGGCCACTCCCCAAAGCACCTTCAGCCCCCCTGCCTCTTGCCCTTACCAGACCAGGATCAGAAGGCAGCCAGTTAGTTCTGTCAGCAAAAATGGCTTGGTATGCAGTACAGCTGCACTCAAGTTCAGAGAAAAGAGGCCAGTCCTTAAAGGTTTCAACTAGAGCGGTTTCCTTAGCCTCTCAGTTGAGGAAATTTCAGCACTTGCTTTACCCCTCAGTATAAAAAGCCTGGCAAACTGGCTACCTTTAAAAAAAAAAAAAGTTAGTTCTTTATTACTCAGCAAAAGAACATTAAAAAACACTTTAAAACTTTGCTTCAAAGAAACCTGTTCCCCTTATTTGTTCCCCCCCACACCAACCTTTGAGGTTCTGATGAAATAGGGAACCTTAATAGAAGCTTAAGGCAGCACAAAAGGCAATTAAGGTTTTGTATTTTATAATTTCTTGTGGTGTTCAGGGTGGAAGGGAAAATACAACTTGGTATCACCATGTTACTGTGGATCCTTTCCCCTAATAGCTTGGGGGAAAGGCTATAATAGCTCTTTAACAAGTGAAATTCAGAGTGTGCTATTAAGAAAGAACACTTTTAAGCTCCTTAATAAGAGGGAAACCTCAATGTTCCCCACTGACAGAAAATAAGGTTACAGGTCAAAATGGTAATAGGTGCACACAGACTTTGAATGCAGCTACAAAAGGTACTTTGTTTTTTTTAAAACCCCATGGGTCCTTGTAGAGCACAGATTACACACAGGTGGTTGAGAAGCCAGAAAACAAGTCCCATCTCCAGTTCCCACCAAATCCCATCTTAAAGGAAAACCTGACTTCTATAATTTCTTCACTCACACTTCTGCACAATTCATTGTCCTCACACAGCAACACCATCCTGCATAGGCTGAAAACATCTAAAGTCACAAGCTATTCACCTCATCTAAGTCCACTCCCTAACATAGCTCAGCAAGAGACCTAGTTTTATCTTGTTAATACTACAGAAATGTCAATATAGAGAGTTCCGCCAAGGACAGCATCAAGGCCAGTAACACAAGTTTTCAGTAACAATTCAGAGGATGGGATAATATCCCTGTTCAAGGGCTTGTTTCACCTCTCAAGTCCACCTCTCCAGTTATGGGTGTCTATCAGGTAGCTATTCCTTTTCTGCCCCACAGAAGGGGAGGGGAAACACTCCATCTATTCAATGCTGTTTTTATAGTCTTTAATCATGCAAGATAAGAGCTCAGGGACTGCGCTGTAGTTGTAAGACAGAATTTGACTTGACACAACTTAGAGTATTTCCCTTTACACTTTTACAGAGACATCCTTACCAGAAAAAAAAAAAAAAAAAGCAGCAATGACGGAAGAGAACCCAGCACTTATGTCTACACCTTGCAGGCAATCCACAAGGAGATGATCTTGCCGGCATCATAATCCT